GCCCAAAGAGCCCCATAGCGGCCACGGGGACCCTTGGGGCCCCATGGAGCCCTATAGCGACCCCCGGGACCCATAGTGACCCCCGGGGAGCCCCGCGGCAGCCCATGGGGACCCTATAGAGCCCTATGGCACCCCATAGCGACCCACGGGGACTCACAAAGCCCCCACAGCCCCATAGAGTGACCTATGGGGACCCTATAGAGCTCCACAGGGACCCACAGGCTCTGGGGCGGGGTATTTACACAGGTAGTTGCCCCCCAGGCGGGTATTTACCCCCTGGGGCAGGTATTTCCCCTGGTAGTTGCCCCCCAGGGTGGGTATTTCCTCCCATATTTCCCCCCCCGGACAGGTATTTTCTCTGGTATTTACCCCTGGGTGGGTATTTGTCCCCTGGGGTGGGTATTTACCCCCCAGGCGGGTATTTACCCCAGTATTTCCCCCCCCCCGGGTGGGTATTTACCCCCCAGGATGGGTATTTCCCCTGGTATTTACCCCCCAGGGGGGTATTTACCCTGTATTTACCCCCGGGTGGGTATTTCCTCTGGTATTTACCCCCCGGGGTCTGTATTTCCCTGTGGGTGGGTATTTACCCCGGGTGGGTATTTACCCCCGTATCTGCCCCCCAGGGTCTGTATTTCCCCCTGGGGTGGGTATTTACCCTCGAGTGGGTATTTACCCGGTATTTGCCCCCGGGGTGGGTATTTACCCACTATCTGCCCCCCGGGGTGGGTATTTCCCCCATATTTGCCCCCCCGGGGGGTATTTACCCGGTATTTACCCCGTATTTGCCCCCCGGGGGGTATTTACCCCATATTTGCCCCCCGGGGGTATTTACCCGCTATCTGCCCCCCCGGGGGTATTTACCCGGTATCTGCTCCCGGGCAGGTATTTACCCCGTATTTGCCCCCCGGGGGGGTATTTACCCCGTATTTACCCCCAGGGTGGGTATTTCCCCCGTATTTACCCCCGGGGTGGGTATTTACCCCGTATTTGCCCCCGGGGGTATTTACCCGGTATCTGCCCCAGGCGGCTTCGCGCTCCTGCCCTTCCTGTGGCTGGTCAACGTGCTCTGGTTCTTCCGCGAGGCCTTCGTGGTGCCGCCCTACAGCCAGCAGCCCCACATCAAGCGCTGTGA